GAGAAGCGGCCGCCGAGCTATGCGCTGGAGAATGTGCGCGCGCCGGTCGCCATGTTCTACAGCGAAGCGGACTGGTTAGCAGATCCGCGGGATGTGGACCAGCTTTACAACAAGTTGACGAACGTCATCGACTTGTATAAAGTACCGTACGAACAATTTTCACATTTAGATTTCGTTGTAGCAAAAGACTTTAAAACGTTAATTTATTCCAGAATACGCAAACTATTATGGACGTTTCAAAAATATGATTTTGAATAAGTTACACGCAATGGTGTGATTGTACGGGAATTTATTTATTGTAGCAAACTAAGTTTACGCTCAAATACTACCGATATCCAGGTAATGACTGTAATTATGTATGACGCATATGCAATTACTTAATAAGTGAGTCTGTTAATTTATTTGAAATGTTGTGAACTATACTTTTATCTATAATTGACTAATCTAAATAATTGATGACAAAATAAAAAATATTATTTTGTTACATAACATAGCATTTTATTCAAACCATTTGTATTACTGAGCTGTTCCTGCAAAAATTGTAGCAAAAGCTTTTGACATTTTTATAATTGATATTAGAAAATGACAGGCATTTTACACACACAAATTAAGATTGTATTCTAGAAGTTAGTTTATGTTTAGCTATCAGCATTGTAAGTTTACATTTCTTGGTAATGCAATAAGAATAGAATAATAAACTATAGAAAAAATTATTCCTCCAAAGGTAGATCAGATTTAATATTTGTAAACATTAGAATCTAGTGGCCAATTCACGAGTTGGCTTTATTGGAGTATGTAAATATAGTAATTCGATGCAATATTTTATGGACTACCCACTTTATTGTTGTTAGAGAGGTTGTTTTGTCAGTTAATTTAACTAGATATGTAAAATAGAACCTTGATAAGTTAAAGTCCAAGGGAAACACAAAATATTTTAAGTTCGAGTTTTTAAGTTATCAAGGGTCTATGTTATAGTGGTTTTGGGCTCTGATGGGAAGAGAACATATTATTTTTTGAAGTTATAGAGGGTTTTATGTTACCTAGGTTCTACTGTATTTTCAAATCTAATTAATATAAGCATTAAGGTCGCAAGTACATAGTGTAAGCAGAGATTAAAACATGTACATTTGCTGTAATTTTGGTATATCTAATGACTTTTAAATAAAACACTTGTTTCAAAATCTTAATTTATTAACATCTTAATAATTAAATATGAATATTATATGGTTTGTGATTCGAATGACAGATTTACCTGAAACAAAAGTAAAATAAATAAACCACATCAAATTTTTCTGTGTAAAATTTTTTAACAGAATTTAAAAAGTGGCCATGACCATTTTTCTTTACAACTTTAGATTTATGAACCATTTACATTATTCCGGTAATAATTATCAAACCCACACAGAGCATTCAAGTGTAACATTTTTCCAATTATTTGTTAGATTTTGATCACTGGACTGGATTAATGTAAACTGGGTATTAGATGGATTTTTACTTTTACTTTACATATTTAAATAAATAATTATTAATTCTTGTTCATACGACAACGTTTTTTTTAATGAATACTTACTTTATTTAGAACTGTTAGCGTTAATGTAATGGTACAATATGACGAGAAGGAAAATAGACACTCCTAGAATGTTAGAGAAAACAGCTAACTGGATATCTGTAATCATGATGACGTCTTTTATCTGAAAGAAATGAATGTTATATTAATATTGTTGACTTTATACAAAAACTATTAAATAACAAATAATGAAACTAATATAACTAATGATCATTATAGGTTATCTATGCCGGTGAAATGGAGGACATTCGAACTCTCTGTTTTAATTTAGAAATTGGAATTTTTACACGTTAAAAAGTTCAAAACTTACCAAAATGTAATATAACTCCTCAAATATTTTTTAGAAAAACAGCAAATCAGCAAAACGCAAGTGTCAAAAACAATGACACGTCATACAAATTCAAAATAAGACAATCATAGATTATAAAAGTAAAACTGTGTCAATGGTGGCACAGCAAGTGTGCACAGTGTGAAAAACTAAAAAGCTTACTTTAACCAGATTTTTTTTCTGTGATAATCCTATTTCTACAGTCACCAAAAAAGTCACCTAAGTTGACAAATATTTCCATATTTTATGGACTAGCAACTTGTGATCCAAGAATCTTAGGCTTAAGGGATTGTATGTATTGTATGGATCTGAATGCTGGGCCACCAAAGTTGCGGATGAAAGGAGATTGCATGTGGGTGAGATGCGTATGTTAAGACGGATGTGTGGTGTGACAAGATTGGATAAAGTTAAGAATGTGTACATTAGAGGAAGTTTGTTAGCGCCAGTGGTGGAGAAATTGAGAAGCAAAAGGTTAGCGTGGTATGGACATGTTATGCGACGAAATGATGGGGACATAAACCAGTAAGTGTTAAGATTGAATGTGGATGGCTACAAAGGAAGAGGAAGACCGAAGAAAGTATGGATGGATTGTGTGAAAGAGGATATGCTTAAGAAAGGATTGGATTCAGATATGACGGCTGATAGAGATGTATGGAAGAGCAGCACATACTGTACCGACCCTCCTCATAAGGGATAAGGGCATGTGGATGATGACGGACTAGCAACTTCATTGTGGTTGATATATGGGTATACTGGGCATGGGTACGAGTGGAGGCAGATGTTTTATGTTTTAAACTATCAAAGTTTTAACATTCATACAATATTGGCACACCTTTCACGCTTTTTAGATAAAAAAAAACTAGTTTTAAAAACCTTAATTTATTAACATCTTAATAATTAAGCATTAATAACCTCTTGGTATAGGCGACTCGTGAGACCAATCTGAATCAAAAGAAAACGCCGTTTTCATTAAATAATACATGGCCAAGTGCGCGTTTTTTAAGTTTGGATCTGGAAAAATGTGTCGAGCGTGAAGTTTTTGTTAAACTAATTTAAGATAACAACATTTACTTTACTAATTACACTTAATAACTACTTACTTTTTTACCAGTAGCTATTAGCGTTGACATAATGATAAAATATCACCAGAACGAATATAGACATGCCTAGAATGTTATATAAAACAGCTATTTGCATATCTGTAATCATGTTGATTGTTAAATAGAATCTATTAAATCTGAAAGAAATAGTTCAAAAATTATAAGCTTTATATAGATATTAGCATTATTAATATATGGCAAATAATGAAACTAATAAAGCAATATGCGCCGTTACCATCGGATTGATTCGAAAGTCGATTCGTCGGTCGTATTATTAGATTAATATTCATTTATTGAAAAAAACATTCGATAAAAGAATTAGTAATTAAATAAAATAGCGTTAGTTCACAAAAGTAGCTGCGGAATCTAATGATTCAAGCTTGGAGGTCACAAGCAACCAGTGGTCAAGGCTGCAGAGAAAAGAGCTTACGCAATGTGCGCGATTTTTTTTGTGCTAACATGTTTATTTAAACGTACCAATATGTTTACGTTTCTTAAGAAATTTTAAGAAAACCGTAGGTTTCTTTAGCCCTCTTGCCCTCTGCTCTCTCTGACATCAGTAGATGTAGGCTGAAGAAGTGGCTGGTTGGAAATTACAACTTGTGTTTTATTCAGTCAGATGAAGTTCCTATAGGCAAATTATACCTTTATTATTAGTCCAACTTTCCCATATGGATACCAACAAACATAGTCAGCGCCATAATCATCAAAAAGAAACAAAATGTAACGGCTTTTATAAGTTTATAAAATTAAAAATGACTTTACAGAATAAAGAATATACTACTCATTTAAAAAGGATCACTATAAATTCTCTCTCCTTTCCCCCAATTCAGAACACATTTAATTTTTTCTATTTATTTTAATGTATTAATTATTTCAATTATTATTTCCTAATTTTTATCAAAAATGGTACAGTAAGAGAATTTTTTCTGGCATCCTGAACGATTTGTTGATGATTTGATTGTCATTTTTGGTTGTCAAAAATATACTCTTTGG